TCTCCCAACTGAAAACACATCTTATATCACATGTAAATTGGAAAAGTGCTAAAGCTTCTTGGGGGTGGTAATATGTTTTCTTCTTTCAAGGACACTATTTTAAAATAATGTATTGATGTAATAGGAAAGACAACAAGGATGGAGAAAGGGAAAAGAAAGAAGGGAAGTCCATAACTTTATTTTCAGAATCCTATAAATTCTACTATTAAAATTTCAGTTGAACTTCCACACATAAATAAGAAGTTTTATACCATTTCAATTTCCTCCAACTCTGAAGAAGATATTAAGAGGCAAAACGAGATATTGCAAAGCTATTAAAACATGACAGCACATTTTTAACTTTCTTTCATTTAATCTGACAGCTCAGATCATTTCTCATTTCATAAGAGTCACAGAAAACTTTGTAACTACAAAGTCAGACTTCTGTATCCTTGCAACCAGAGTTGATATATAAATTTACTATAACTGAAATTCTCCTAATAGTAATTTCATCTCAATTTAATTACAATCAGGTCAAGACAAGGATATCTATTATATTGCTTTATTTTAACACTATGATGGAAGTTCTAGACAATGCAGTAAGACAAGAAAAAGATTTTGAAAAAAAGATTAAAAAATTGCTTAAAGAAGAAGCAAAGCTGTCGTTAGGTCATATAACAAAGAGACTGATATAAGATCAAAGTATTATTAATGTTTATTCAGTATTATGAAGGTATTCAGAATGGAAATGCAAAGATATACAGGAGGTATAATGTAGGAGGTATGATGTGTGTTATTATTCTAAAAATAAAAATCACAGAACAGGAATACTAAGCTCAATGGCCTTAAAAGTCATACAAAGTAGCTTTTGGGAATACAGGATGAAGTTCATAAAATGAAAAACATAAAATGAAAGGCTCAAATTTGATATAAAAAGGAAAGAAAAATGGGTACACACACCTGAGAATACTGAATTATTATTTGTATATAAGTATGCTCACCTATTCATACTTTTTTCTACCCTCTGAGGTTCCCCTATGAGTACTAGTCTACAAGATAGTAGATTTAGAAGAACTGTGCCAACTATAAGCCAAGTGAGCCACAATGTAGGACCTTAGCAAATTTTTGCTTCTCTAACATTTTCTGATCTATTATCTATGTTCACCTCCATTATAAGACTGCTATAAAACTATATTTAAGTAATATGTATTTTAGTACAGTATCACAAGGCTTAGTAACTTTTATTTACTATCTTTAATTTTGAAATGTTTTTACTTTTTTGTTTTCCACATTTTTAAAAAAGATTTATTTATTTATACATACAAGAACTGGGGTATAAGCCAGATTTTTGGGAGGTGAGAGGATTCACCAGAGACACATTTTTTAAAAAAAATTAGTCCATTTTAAGCTACTTGGCAATTATAAAGTAATTTTTTAAAGATTTATTTATTCATGCATGTAAGAACTGGGGTACAGGCCAGATGTGTGGAAGGTTGAGAGGATTCACCAGAGACAGAGGAGGGAACACAACAGGCAGACTGAGTGAAATATACTGCAGAGGGGAGCAGTGGGTGGGACAGGAGAGGTCTGCAGGGGCATGTGGGGTATCTTCACGGCTGGCCAGGATTGAACCCACACTGCAGAAGCTGCAGACAGCTTCACAGCACTGTGCTCAACCGCCTATGCCACCAGGGAGGCTCTATTAAGTATTTTAAAGCTATATTTTTGATATTCTTCATTTAGAAAGAGATTTAAAACCACCTAATCATGTTGCAAAATAAACATTATAATACAAAATGGGCAACCCAAGTGCCCAAAAATAGATGACTGGCTCAAGAAGATGTGTACATATAAACAATGGAATATTATTCAGCAATCAAAAAAGATAAACTCATGCAATTTGCAGCAACATGGATGGAGCTAGAAGGGATCATGTTCAGTGAAGTAAGACAGAAAGGAAAAGAAAAATACTGGATGGTCTCACTCATAGCAGGAATCTAGAAAACCTAAATAAGGGACCAGGAAAAAGAATAACTATAAGAAAGGAAAAATCAAAATCAGCAAGCAACTATAAACCAGAGACACACTATAGGGCAGGGGCAGGGAAAGGTGGGATTGGGGTCAAAATAACGGGGGTGCAATTGTATGGGGAATATAAAAATAAAAAAATTTTTTAAAAGTATGAAACAAGACAAAAAAAATTTTAAAAAATGGCTACATGAGATGTGTGAATGCATTAATGAATTTTCCAATTAGTTCAAGGTTGGATTACTACCAGCAGTATTTGTCAGAGCAAGGGGTATCAGCTACTTAAATGTAATTATTATTTTACTCTATCTTTGTGCTTAGTGATGCTTTAGATATTTCCCTTCTAAATATTACATAATGAGGCAAATACTGTTTTTGGAGAAAAATTGTAAGTCAGGAGTTGCAAGTACCAAGAACCATCTGTTTTAGTTATGTTAGGAAAACAAATCTAGATTCAATCAGAAAATCACTGATTGGCTGAAAATAAACTAAATGATAGGGGGAAAATGTTCTATGTATTATAAATGAGATCACTATGAATAAACTCAGAAACTATATAAATTTTGTTATATTCTTTTTTTAATTTTTTTTAAGATTTATTTATTTATACAAGCACTGGGTACAGTCAGAAGCGCGGGAGGGTGAGAGAATTCACCAGAGCCAGAGTGGGGAACAGAACAGGCAGACCGACGAAATACACTGCTGAGAGGAGCAGCAGGCACTGCAGGAGAGGTCTGCGCACCATGTGGGACCCTCACTGACTGCCGGGAACGAACACTGCAGAGGCTGCGGGCAGCTTCGCAGCTCAGCGCTCAACCGCTGCGCCACCAGGGAGGCGCAATTTTGTTATATTCTTTTTTGTTGTTGTTGTTGTTTTTGTTTTTTTTAAATAATAAATTTTATTTTTATATTCCCCATACATTTGCAACCCCCCCATTCTGACCCCAATCCCTCCCCTCCCACCCCCCACTCCCCAAAAACTGTCTCTGGTTCATAGTTTTTTGTTGATTTTGATTTTCACTTTCTTATAGCTATTCATTTTCCTGGTCCCTTATTTAAGTTCTCTAGATTCCTGCTATGAATGAGACCATCCGGTATTTTCCTTTTTCTTTTTTTTTTTTTTTAATAATAAATTTTATTTTTATATTCCCCATACAATTGCAACCTCCCCATTCTGACCCCAATCCCTCCCCTCCCGCCCCCACCCCCCAAAAAGTGTCTCTGGTTCATAGTTTTTTGTTGATTTTGATTTTCACTTTCTTATAGTTATTCATTTTCCTGGTCCCTTATTTAAGTTTTCTAGATTCCTGCTAGGAGTGAGACCATCCGGTATTTTTTTTTTTTCTTTTTGGCTTATTTCACTGAGCATGATCCCTTCCAGTGCCATCCATGTTGCTGCAAATTGCATGTGTTTATCTTTTTTGAATGCTGAGTAATATTCCATGGTATATATGTACCACATCTTCTTGATCCAGTCATCCTTTTTCTTTCTGGCTTATTTCGCTGAGCATGATCCCTTCCAGCGCCATCCATGTTGCTGCAAATTGCATATTCTTTACACAACTCAAAAGCAAATTAGTTTGTACAATGTAAAAACTGATAGAAAAAATTGTATGATTATTTTTGCTTTTTACAAGCATATGATGAATATATTAGTTTTTTTATGGTATTGAATGGTTTTTGGTATTTTTAAAACAAGATAATTTATCATTTTTCAGAAATCAGTATGGTCTCAGATTTTATGTTATTTATACATTTCTAGCTCTGAAATATATATATACACACACATAATCTATATATATGTTGACATGTGTGTGGATATATATGTTGATTTTTGATTAGTGTATTCATAAACATTCAAAACGGCAAGATGGGAAGGGAAGGAATATAAAGGTGGGCATCAGCTTAAACCAGCAATATGCAAGAAGAACCTAATGGAAGTGGTGCCATTTGCAGAATTAAACGTGAGTCCCATTTGGCTAGACTACATAGACAGGTATTTTTATAAGTGCCATCTAAAATCACCACAGTAAATATAAAATTAAATTGAGCATACTTCTGACTACTTACTAACCTTTGCATTAAAAGGCTAAATTTGATTATTCAGGAACAGATTATCTAAAAATTAGAAATGGTGTTGGCTTTATCTGTATATTACTACAGCATTTTTGTATAGTCCATTATTTATTAATAATCTCTCCTGAAATGGCAGGGGAGGGAATGTTGAGTATAACCACCACACTTTGCAAGGCATCTTAAGTTTGAGGATAAAGGGATAAACTTTATTTAATGGACCTTGTAATTGGAGACTTTGGCCTCAATTAACATTGATAATCTGAGTTAACTATATATATATATATATATATATGTACTGATTTATAAAACTGTTCAGTATTTCTGACACAACTTTGAGAAATTAACAATCTACTAGCAGAGACAAAAGCTTTTGCATCAAACTGAGCACATTTGCTGAAAATGAGTAAAAAGCTTTCTTCCAGGTGTACTAATATAATGACAAGAAAGATTTCAAAATAAGACACAAAAACTGCATGAAGATGTATGATGAGACTTAACTCAGAGTATGTCAACAGTATCAGGAACTTGCCAGTATATATAACAGGCACCACACTCCTTCTTATTCCTGCTTATTGTACCAAAATGAGACAACTGCCATGTTATTTTGTCAGAGAGACAGTCATTAGACTCCTCTGAGACTCTACTGTGACAGCCTAAGAACACCTTCTGTTCCTTTCCTGTTGGCAGCAGAGCCAAACAGAGGTAACACAGTGCCACCCCCTCACAAGGACACACAGGACACACAGCCAAAAAGTCACCTCCAGGACTCAGAACTGAGAACCTGCCAGTATAAGTGTAAAGCAGAAAACATGAAACAGTGCAAATAAGAAATGAAGACAGAAATAAAATCTTTCAGATGGGTTCTGAAAATACAGTTCTATGAAATAAGTAAGAAAAAAATGAGGTAGAGGGCCTACCTTGCAGATCTTGTAGAGAGATTCTTGGCCGTCTCCTCCAGTATCTTTAAAGTAATCATGTGCAGGAAATGTACGATGAATATCTCGAGTAATAACACTCTCCTGGGCTGAGTCCTTGAAAAGAACAAAAATAGACCAGATTATTCATTTAAATTTTATTTTTAATTATGAAAAATATACATATGCATATGGTTAAAAAAAATTTAAACAATAGGAAAAAAAGTATGCCCCAACAAAAAAAAAGGGTCCTGTATCCCAGATCCATAGTCCCATTCACCAGAGATAAACGCTACTAATAGCTTCTTTTGTATTCTTTTAACCTTTCTATAGAGGTATGAATGTATATACATGGAAAGAGGAGGAGAGGACTCGTGTACACATAACTCTATTCTTTGCTTTTTGAAGCAAATAGAAGCAAACTTTTCTCCTTTCACATAATAAATTAACTTATAGAATGTTCTGTATCAGTGTATCCAAAGATATTTCATTCTTTTTAAGAGCAACTATTAAAAAGAATAAAACATTCTGGATATATAATTGTTTAACATTGCCCTATTAATAATCACTCTTTTTGCATTTTCTACTTAGATTAGAAACAACATTACTAGTACACTCATATACTTATACGTTCAAAGACAGATTCCTAGAAGTGGAATTGCTAGGTGACAGCACTGCCATTCCTGATAAAGGTACTTTCCCTTCCAGAGTTGTAATACCAATGCGTGCTCCAAACGAAAGCAGAGTATGTGTTCTTCCACACCCATCAGACCATAGTCATATAAAAATTATCCCCGCACTGGGTTACCCAACTTACTCACTTTAGAAAATAAAAGGCACAAAACTACTACATTAAAAGCATATAAAGCATATATGCTTGGACCTCCCCGGTGGCACGGCGGTTGAGCACTGGGTTGCGAAGCTGCCCGCAGCCTCTGCAGCACCGGTTCGATCCCCGGCTGCCCCCCGGCCACCAGAGGAGGGTCCCACATGGCGCGCAGACCTCTCCTGGCGCCCGCTGCTCCCCTCAGCATTGGTCCCCTTCGGTCCTTCTGCCTGCTCTGCTCCCCACTCTGGCTCTGGTGAATTCTCTCACCCTCCTGAACTTCTGACTGTACCCAGTGCTTGGGTACAGTAAATAGATAGATAGATAGATAGATAGATAGATAGATAGATAGATAGATAGATAGATAGATAGATAGAAAGATAGATAGTAAATAAATAAATAAATATTTTTAAAAATAAAAATAAAAATAAAAAATAAGAGCATATATGCTTTCAAGATAATGCTGAATAAAAAAATTCTAGAGATTTTTCAGACAGATTCAGTATCCAAAAGCTCAAAATTGAGTAAAATTTAAGCTTTATTAAAAAATAATTAGTCATCCCTTTGATATATTTTAGTCCTATAAATGTTTGTTTGATCAATTTAAATGTCAAGAAAATAGGATGGGACTACTTATGGCAGCCCTGATGGTGAAAATATTTCACACAATTTAGGGACGCATCAAAAACTACTATTGTAAATTAAAAGTATTGTTTACTATTTTGCTACCCTGAAGATTTGAAAAAGATCCCTCTTTAAGTTTAAATGAAGAAAGGAAGAAATGTTCACTATATAACTTACTTCAATGAATGCTATTTCCCTTTCTCTAGATGAAAGTATATGTGTGTGTGTATGTATATATGTGTATATAAGTGTATATAAGAAAGAAGTTGATTAGTTTTAAGTTAAGCAAGTGCCTTTCCTGCTGCCTTTATCATTTCAACCACTATTTCATGCTGGGTGATAATTAGATCCTATAACACAAGAGAAAGGACATACAATGAAAAGTTCCAAATTTGCTAGCAAATACCAAACATAATATTGATATAAATCAGTCAGAGGAAATTCTGATGACATACAGGAGCAGAAAACTAATGCTGAATAAAAATGGAACTTTAAGGAATTATCATAACTTAAGTAAAGTGATAAATTGGAAGTTTATATTTATCAAGACAATACAGTTTCTAACAATAAAGAAAATTTTGGGGTGAGATGGTGGTACAGAACAAGAGGGCACTATATAAGAAATATTATGAAATATATGTTTTATCTTGTCTGGTGTGGATTCTAAATAAAGGAAGCTGATACCAGGTTGAAGAAAGTTCTCACTGGCCAGGTTTTCTCCAATAGAAGCATTCTCTTTCCATGTGGTAATAGTTTCTACTTATAAGTTATCTGAAAATATGACCAATGAAAATGTTACTACCATTGCCAAACTATTTCAGGGGCAAACATGTGCCAAGTGGTTCACAGGATAACTCTTTTGCACTTTTCAAGATGTTAAGGAGAGAAATCATTGGATCATATTCTCTAGAAACTGCCTACTCATTTGGCATCATGCTGTGTTTAAATGGTACCAGCACTGATTCAGAGAAAGGGAAATTGATCAAAATTTCTAGAAAGTAACTTTGCATAATACTGAATACATTTTTTCTGTGTATACTTAAATCATTCTTGTTTGTTTAAAAATAAGGGGGCAAAAATCAAATAAAAAGAACAATTATTTAGATACAGTGGTGTTTTATCAAATGATGTACACTTTGGTTCCAGCTTTGCTTATAACTATACAATAAAGAAAGAGATATACAAATATACTCAGAAGGAGGATGGGAAGGACAGGGTAAAACAGATGTTAAATTTGTCAGAGCAGCTAGCATTTCCATCATTATTTTAAAAGAAGTTAGCTTCTGAGGATAAGAGAAGGGTTGAAGTCATGATCGTGGAGATGACAAAGCCATTATCATTATTGTATGCCTCACTTCTGGACCATCACCATCAAGAATGTAAACTTGGCAAAGTCCTTGACATTATCTTCTATCTTGCCTGAGGGGTCAGGTTGGGCCACACTCAAAAACTGAATCAGATCAGAAACAAGGATTAGTAGTGACAGGTTAGGAAGAAAGTCTTAAAAGTTGAGTATCATCTTTCCCTCCACAGACACACTTAAACACCCCTGACAATCATCCTGAGTTTTCTCTAATTTCCAAGCACTAATTCAGAAGACAACTTATCTTCAAAAAAGACATTGATCCCTAGTGAGATAAAACCCATAGTACAACAGAGGATATAATTCAGCTTGCTAAAGATCAGTTTAAAACCAACCCTATGAGGTATAAAGAGTAGCTCGATTAACTTTTGATCATTTTAAGTGGATTCAATTTATAGCTTGCTATCAAGAGTATTACACAAGTTGTCCTTCCAGTATGATGTATATACCTGACATGTTTATAAACCTCTTAATTCCTATTTGAAGAGAATCATCACATACTTGCTTGCTGTGAAAAATAAATGAATTCAACAATCAAGTGTCAACAAGTATTAGGAATACAGGGATGGAAGACCATAGCCTATTATATTTTATGAAACAATTTTTGAACTTTCAACAACTAGAAAGGTATTTTTGTAAAGATGACTGTTTCACATGTGACCTCAGCACTAGATGAAGTATAAAAATAACACCCTGGTAAATGAACATCTTGACTGTACCTTGATTTGTGACATTTTTACAACCATGACAGCATCTTTTCTTATCAATCCCTATTGTCAAATTCAAAGTATAACTGCATTTTCATTTTTGTCTACTACAAAATCATTTCAACTTTATAAGTACCATTCCAATTTGTTAGTGTCATTAAAAAAATCAATGTAGACTATGCCTAACCACACCAGTTAGCAGATAAATCATTCCAAGTTAAAAAAAAAAAAAACGACCTTAGGATGTGCCTTCTATTCTTACTCCACAGGGATCGTCCTTTAGTTCTATGTTGGAGCTAGATCTATGGTAAAACATCACAAACTGGGCAGCTTACAAGTCCCTGAAAGCAGATGGTTTGCAGTGGTGGGTCTGATTTATTTGCCTTGATGTCTGCCAAAAATCTAAAGAGTCAGAGATGAAAGGAGAAGATATAAAAGTGCATTCTAGTTTTAAGTGTGCTATTAAAATCAAGAGGTAAAAAAAGTGACACAGAAAGGTCTGGTCATTGCCAGTCTTCATTCCTTGAATATGGGGAGAAGTCTTAGCAGAAGTGGGATAATACAGAAGCAAAGAAATAAGCACCAAACTTAATCATACTGCGAGCAAGCTGCTTCCCAGGCATTACACACACATGCTGCCAAATGTCTCAGAATCAAAGTCTGTCACAAAGGTCAAAAATATAAGCCATATTCTGGCTTTAATGAAAAAGAAATCTCTTCAAAGAGAGTGCCAACAATAATAATTAAGGGCAGTGGAAAGAGGAGGGAGTGTATTTATAGATGAGTCAACATTCATTCCTGAAGGAAATACCAGGACTGGAGTGGAAAATATTTAAAATAGAATAAAGCATTCCTTTGAGCCCGGACAACTAAGTATATTAGACTATGAACACAGTCTGTATTTCCCAGAGACCCCATGTAATCTAGATCAGACTTGGAGATGACTCTCTAAGACAAATCTGGTATTACTTTTAGACTCCAAACACAATTAACATATGCATGTATGGCCATATTTGGATACTGCCCTCATTCCCAGGGTTGCTGACCACTCATTCTCTCAAAATAAAGTTCAACTGGGACACTTGACAATTCTGGAAAATCAGCAATGGACAATGATAAAACCTGTAACTTCTGTTACAACAAGCACAATAACTGACATTTATGCTGCTACTTCCCAAAGTTAAGTGTATTTCTACCTGTGAATTTTTTAATTATTAATTATGATTTTTATCAACACTGTACTTTAAACACTTTTGAAGTAATATAGTTCCATATAGTTCCTAATGTGTAAAAACAGCATTCTTTCACTTTTTCACAAAACATTAAAGAATGTCTTTGATAACCAGTATTTGACAAATATGCCTATTTTCACCTATTTATTACTTTTATAATTATATTAACTTCAATCATATATACACCTAAGTTAATGTTTTTACAGGTTGACTAATTTTTTCATAATTTTACACAGAATTTATCATTTTTTCAATCACTTTCAATGCTTCCTTTAAAACTCTTTGAGCTCAACTATATTATGAACTGAATGACATAAAAACTGAATGAACATTAAAATCTAAGTTTTCTATTTACTGCATAGTAC